GCATGAGGCTTTCATGCTACTGAATGGGAAAACCACCAGCTCGAGAGAACATTGTGGACACCAAATGCGCGTGATAGGGAATCATTTTTTGTACTTTCTTTCTCCCTTCCCAGTGACTGTCCTCCTGTTAAATGCCAGGCTGTTTCAGATAATTCGTGTGACCAATCTTTTTTAAATGTCATAGTTAGATGGCTTAAGTGGCTAAAGACATGAAAACAGGCAGTTTAGCTGGGACCACCTGCCCGGGCGACACTGTTGACATGTGTAATTGGGTGGTCAGGCTCGGCCTCCTTGAGAAACCAGAGCTTAGCGAAGACTTGAAGATTGCCTCTAAGCCAGGGCTGCTGTAAGCCCAGCGCTCTGTGTCTTAGCGTGGTATAATCAGGGTGGGAAGTTAAGCCAGCCCAGGCGACACAGTGAAGCCCTACCTGACTTTGCCTAAAGAAGAGATTGAGAAAGGCGGGTGGAAGGAATAGCCAGGAGGAGGAAGCTTTGACATCTATCTAGCAATTGGGATGCTAGTGACATTTTCTAGGCTTCGAAATTTGGAAGACGCTTTGAGGAAACTAGCTGTTTTATTTGATGTGAACTGTTGAGTCCATCTGGCTGTGTTTTCTCACTAGTTAACATCCTCTTGGAAAATAATTATCTTGATTTTTTTTATTCCTTTGTTTTGGAAGATTCTACAGGTCTTTATTAGGCATCTTACAGGTCTTTAAAAAGTTACTGTTGCCAGGTGTGGTGGCACACACTTAATTCCAGCACTAGGGAGGCAGAGGCAGGATGATCTCTGTGAGTTCAGCTTGGTATCCACACTGAGTTCCAGGACCTCCAGGATTATGTAGAGATACCCTGCCACAGAAACCAAAACAAACAAAACCAAAACAAGAGAAAAAGAGAGCCTCTCTATTATCTCTATTTACCCTCCCTCAATGCTTCTAAGACCTAACCTAATTCTAGAAGAAAACACTGTAGGGGAATAATGCACAAATGATTGACTTGTGCTACCACAGATTCCTAGACTGTTTCTAAACCCGATGACTGGGAGACTGTTGATTAACATAACTCCCGTCTCTTTGCTCATACCTCAAACTTTGCCTGTTTGTATATTATAGAAGTTCTTTGGAGCTGGCCTGTGGTGGTGCACGCCTTTAATCCCAGCACTCGGGAGGCAGAGGCAGGAGGATCTCTGTGAGTTCAAGGCCAGCCTGGTCTACAGAGTGAGTTCCAGGACAGCTTCTAAAACAATACAGAGAAAACCTGTCTAAAAAAACCAAATAAATAGATAGATAGATAAATACAAGCTATTTGAAATGATTTATGTGCAATTTTTCAAAAGTATAACGTTAACTTTTAGCTAATTGACTGCAAGCAAACTGTTTTTGTCTTTATTTTCAGAGGGTAAACGATTTTAGGCAATGAGATGGAGATGTTTAGATTATAAATTAAATGATCAAAATTGGATTTATACTCAGTGTTCAGCAAGTTCTTAGTTTGCAGAGCACTGTTTTTTTCTTTTTCCTAATGACTTTCCTTTAAACTTCATTTTTACATTTTTTTTGGGGGGTGGACATTTTCTTTAAATTGAAAAACTTAATTAAATATTGAAAATAATTCTATCATTTTAAAGGGAGTGTGATTCATGTAAGGGAAAGTGGTTCATACATTTGTAAAGCTGCCAGTTTTAAGTATAGTGACCAGAAATGCCTTGGATCCGGATTGTGTGTGGTTGGGTATTGGGAGGCAGTAATCAGCTAAGTACCGTAATCCTTCTTAGAGGGCATTCTTACTTGACCTGTAGCTATACACAGTCGCACAGTGACAGCATTGAAACAGACTTTCATTAATATGCCCACCACGCAAGCGTCTTCACGTCCTCCTCGAGTGAAGGCTGGAGTTTTGTGCTAAAATGATTGCAAGCCAAGAGCCCTTCAAACCATCTGATTAAGGATGGCTCCTATGATTCTGCGAGGGTTAGAAGGATTAAGAGAGAGCAGTGCCTGGCGTAATGTTGATGTGTTTCCATCAGCGTGAGGCCTCTTTCCCGACAGATGTGCATTGGTTGAACAAAGGTAAAAATAAAAATGCTAAATATTCATTGTGACGTGTAAAAATTTTTTCGTGCTTTTTACAAATATAAATTGATTTGTTAAGCTCTTAGAAAAGGAATTATAGGCATGGGACGTATATATTGCATGTTACACACGATCATAGATTGGGTTAAATTCATGATGTACTATAGCTTAAGAGCTTTGAATTTTGACTTTGCAATGCTTAATCTAAACTGTGTAGTTAGCATTATATACTTGTATTCATGAAGTAGTCATCTTTGCAATATACATGTTTCACAAAATGTTTAAAAAGATGGAGGTGTCGTTTCAGATTTTGAGTCTTGGAATGTCACCACTATAGTTTTTCATTTTTTTAAAATGACAGTTATTAAATGTAAAAAGGTAGTGGTTTCTTTTCTGATTTTTTAAAATGTTATTCAATATATTTTATTTATAAAATGGTTGTCCTTAAATAATCTTTACCAATAAGATATTTATTGGAGTAGGTATGTAGTGCTAAATTGTATTAATATAAATTTCAGACATACAGAATGACATGTCACTGACATTCTTAAGTTTCATATATCATTAGTTAGGAGTCAGAAATATACAAACATTAAGGCTCATCTTTTCATGTGTTCTCTCATTGTCCTTTTACATGTTTTCAAATGTCTACTGCTCTATTTTCAGAGATTTGGCATTAATTGGTAAATATAGTCAGTATTACAGTGGTATCGTTAACACACAAACCATTTAAGAAAGTCGAGGGGAATTATAATGACACTAGGAAGAAATTCACATGCAATATATAAACTGAAATTGTCTCTGGAATATTAGAAAAGTAACTTAAATTTAGAAAAAGTTATTTTGGTGGGATTTTCTCATTAATCAACATGATTTTGTAGACATGAAGTTTTATAATAGTTGATATGTTTTCTTACTCAAATTATTTTGCATAGTCAGATATACATTTATAATAGAACATCTGGTGCACTATAGAAACAGATTATTTAGAAACAGACTGGAACGTTAGTCTACCTGACTAGAAAATCTAAGCAATGACAGAAATGCTACATAGTAAGATAGTTAGATGCAGGATCTTCCAAGTGTTTTTTCTATTAATGGGTTCCTGTTTAATATGGTCAAAGAGAAAAAGGACTTAACCATATAGGTTTAATAAAGAGAAGTAGCAGAGTAGAAATAAAGGGAATTTAAGTGTGTGCTGGTATTGTTATATCAGGAATAAACAGAATGCAAAAGAGAAAACTTTATGGTACTGTCTAGTGTCCCATATATTCTGTTAGCAAAAAGGTGTACCTTTGACTTGTGACTCTCAGTTCCTCAGAATCTTTGAATGACTATTCAGGACTTCCTAGGAGAATTGCTTTGAATTATGACTTATGGGTTGAATATTATTAAATACTTTTTTATCCTTTTAGAGAAATGTACACATTATCATTTATTTTGCTTGTAATTCCCCCCCCCCCAGAAAATCACAAAGACTAAAGTTTATTTTATAAGATATTATGCAGGCTGGACACCAATATACAGAATAGACATTTGAATTGTAATGGAGTTTCTTTCATTCTTGAAATGCAGTCGTTTCTTAGAGCGTAGATGTTTTAAAATTTAAGCAACAGGGCAGGCGTTGGTGATGCACACCTTTAATCCCAGCACTCGGGAGGCAGAGGCAGGAGGATCTCTGATTTTGAGACCAGCCTGTTCTACAGAGTGAGTCCTAGGACAGTCTCCAAAGCAATACAGAGAAACCCTGTCTCGAAAAACCAAAAAAGAATTTAAGAGACAGTGTGTATGAAATGATTCATGATGTACTTGGTAGATATTTGCTTGTCACAAAATTAATATGTCAGAGTAACTGATAATAGATTATTTTCAAGAATGTTACAGTGGAATGTCACCTGGATTTTGGTAGTGTTTTAATATACTAAAGTATACCGTACTTCAAGTTTTTATTTTAAGGAACGGTATCAATAATCCTCCCAATTTCGGATTTTAACCACTATTCCACTTTACTAAGTCCAGTGGAAGTGAACATGCGTACCATAGGTGCTTAAGGCACGTTTCATAGTCTTCAACAGAGTGATTGCTACTTTAATACTGAGTTTATGTTTCCTATAGAATAATTATAAAACCACACTCAGATGCTTTAGCCAGGGACTGTATGTTAATGATCTTTCTTCTGGAACTGAATTCTATAAAGGGAGGTAAATTTTCTTGTTTGTAGTTAGAATCCTCTATTAAGAAGACTATTTACTCTCTACCTATTTTCAAAACTTTCATGTTGTCTTTTTAATACTTTTGTAACACTAAGCATAATTTGTTAATATTCTACCAGAAATCCTTAATACTTCAAGCTTTCATTTAAACAGATTAACTTGATGAAGCTTTGGTGACCATTCTGCGTCTTATAATTGGGAATAAAAATGTTGCATTCATTTATGTGTTCCTTATTGATAATTCAGTGTGCAACATCAGCACTTACCCAATAATTTCTGCTTGTTGAAATAATCTCAGTCAAAGTGTATAAATCATGCCTCTTTTTGTGAAAATACGGACTCTCCAAGATTAGGTGTAATAAGTATAACTAAGCATTGCAGACCCAGTGGCTACAGTGTGACATACGCTTATCATACCAGGTTTTTTCCCCTTAGTCATTTGTATAAAAACAATGCCCAAAGTAAAGTGAGTGTTCTATAGCATGTACTTGCATGACACGTGTGTGCACACACAGACACGCATACACACACGGTGTCGTATAGGCCAATATTGTAGTATTTTTAAGCTATATCTTTCGCAAGAAGAAAGAGAAAACGATGGACCCAAGTGTACCCATCCACGTACCCAAGTGTACCCATCCACCTGGGGATGAATCAGTGAAGTGTAAACTCGCTTAGATGTCATCTCATAGTCTTTTTCTTTGGTTTCTAGGAAAAGAAGTCCATCATTGTCCAGGGATCAAAACCGCGCATACGACCGGAGTGAAGAGAGAGAGGAGTATTCGCAGTATGTCCCTTCGGATAGCACAATGCCGAGGTCTCCGTCAGACTATGCAGACCGACGGCCTCAGCGTGAGCCCCAGTTCTACGAAGAACCGGAGCACTTAAGTTACAGGGATCCTAGCAGGAGAGGCCACAGACACTCCAAAGAGTATATGGTGGACGACGAGGACGCGGAGAGCAGGGAGGACTATGAAAGGCAGAGGCGGGAGGAGGAGTACCAGGCCCGCTACCGGAGCGATCCCAACTTGGCCCGGTACCCGGTCAAGCCGCAGCCCTACGAAGAGCAAATGCGGATCCACGCCGAGGTGTCCCGAGCGCGGCACGAGAGGAGGCACAGCGACGTGTCCTTGGCCAACGCCGAGCTGGAGGACTCCAGGCTTCCTCTGCTGAGGATGGAGCGGCCATCCCGGCAGAGGTCGGCGTCGGAGCGGAGGGCAGCGATGGAGAGCCAGCGGTCCTACTCCATGGAGAGAACTCGAGAGGCCCCGGGGCCAAGCCCGTACCCTCCCAGGGCCGCGGGTCACAGCCCCCCGACCCCGCGCAGGAGCCCCGTACCCGGGGACAGACTGGACGCCCGGCGCGCGGACCCCGTGCGCAAACAGCACCACTTAGACCCCGGCTCGGCCGTGCGCAAGAGCAAACGGGAGAAGATGGAAACCATGCTCAGGAACGACTCCCTGAGCTCCGACCAGTCCGAGTCCGTGAGGCCCCCGCCGCCGAAGCCTCACAAGTCCAAGAAAGGAGGTAAAATGCGCCAGGTTTCCCTGAGCAGCTCCGAGGAGGAACTGGCGTCCACGCCCGAGTACACGAGTTGTGACGATGTTGAGATTGAGAGCGAGAGTGTCAGCGAGAAAGGTAAGCTCTGCCGCACACCCACCCTGCAAGCCTGACATGGGCCCCATTGCCACCTGCACTGAAGCATCTTACGGTGCTGGCCATGTGTGACATCCCACACTATAGAATAGAGTGCCTCGCTATCCTTGCATTCAAAAAGCCGTTAAAAAAAAGCTTTCTTGATTTCCGAAGGCTTCCTTGGATTATTAGATGGCACACATGAATTTATTAGTTCTAGTTTGAGAAGTAGCAGTTTGAATTTCTTTATAAAAGCAGGAATGTTTTTACGATAGAATACTCGAAGCATTGTACAAGGTATTTTAAAGAATGAAATGCAGCCGGGCGTTGGTGGCGCAGGCTTTTAATCCCAGCACTCGGGAGGCAGAGGCAGGCGGATCTCTGTGAGTTCGAGGCCAGCCTGGCCTACAGAGCGAGTTCCAGGACAGGCTCCAAAGCTACAGAGAAACCCTGTCTCAAAAAACCAAAACCAAAACAAAACAAAAGAATGAAATGCCACCATATTCCCTTCCTAAAAGAGAACGGCTGTTACACTTAGGTTTTAGACCTTTTACTCTGAATGTTGAGTTTTCAGATTGGTAAATTGAGTATCACACTGTAAATAACATCATATCTTTTTCAATTCGTATATAATTTTATTTTCAAGTCATTTCATATGCTTTAGAAATTTAAGTGAGTGCACTTTGTTCTATCACATGGATATATCATGCACTAAATATTTATTTATTTATTTAAGGAATAGACATCTCTTCTAAATGCCATATAAATGATATCGTCATGGTCTTCTTTATGTAGATTTTTTTGCTACTTGTCTGAGTGTGTGCGTGAATGCGTGTGAGTGTGTGTGTGCGTGCGTGCATGTGTGTATTTTGGGTTTTATAGCTTTAATTGATATTTAGAGATGCTTTCCAGAAAGGTTCTTAGCACCCCCTGTGTTATTTTCACATGTGCTTGGGCTTCTCATTTCATAGCACCACATTTCTGTCCACTGAATCGGCCACCGAGTACCGTATCCCGTTATCTGAATCTTATAATTTTACTGTGGTGAGCCATCTCTTCGCCCTCTTACTCTTGTCCACTTCCTTCTGCAATCCACCAGTTTCCTCTCATCACTTTGTTAGAGTTGTTTTGGATACTGGGGTTTGTGTCTAATTATCTGTTTGTCAAAGTTGTTTCCTGTTTGGATGTTTGTCTATTAATCTCCTTTGATCATTTGGGGATACAGCTACAGTTGAGTTTTCTTTGTTGACATTTTTTACATCATGCCCATCCTTAGACATTCTTTAGTCATCTCCAAATCTGCTAAATAATTAGATTTGTATGTTCTCCTTTAAATTATTTTTAACCATTAACTTTTTTTCCTGGAATTTATTTTGACATATGGTCAAGTATAGGAGATTGGTGAATATCTAACATGAGTTCCTCATGTTAGCTTCTGGTTCTCCTTCTCAGTTCTGTCATAATATTTAGTAGATAGTCCTTTTCGTTTTTTAAGAAGAATCAACACTAATAAGCAGAGGAATCCATGAAGTCGTAGAAAATTAATATAATGATTGTATACTGTAGCATAAATAATTGGTTAGAAAATACAAATCAAAAGTAGTTCTTATCTAAAACTAAAAGTCAGACAATGTAATTAAAAATAATTATCAAGACATGGTGGTACTTGCTGGAAATGTGGTAAATTTTTCCTCCTAACAAAGGAAGATAAGAAGAGAGGTTCTTTCCTATTACTATTTAGGAAGACTAAATACTGTAATGAAATGTACCAAACAGTGTCGTGAAGTTAGTAATAGTCATGGTTTCAATTGGGTTCTTACCGTGCCCTATTTTATAACGCTAGCAGCTACAGAACAATAGCTAAGAAGTGTGAGGGAAAAGTCCCTTGGCCAGCTACTAACAAAGTAAAAATGATTGCTAGACCAGTGGATTTAATGTAGTATACTAAAGCATCACTAATAATAATATCTAAAAGCACTATTGTAGAAAAGAGGTCATTGGGAAATGCATGTGCCATTAAAAACTAAGTTACAATCTTATTTCATAATTTTTACTTAAAATTGTGAGCTATGAGAAAATTGAGTTAATAGAAATGCAACTTCTGAAAGAAACTGTAGGTCTCCATCAGTTTTATTAAGGAATATGTAGAAATTTTATTTCCTTAAGAAACGGTCTTTAAGTATATTTACTAATAACAATTTTCCACATTTGGTAGGGTATATATTTTGATGCTAATATATCAAAAGCTAACAGTTATTCTTGGTGGTTTGGTTTCTATCCTGTCTGGTTGATAATTTGCTCATCCTTTGCTAAAATAATGCCTCCGTTTCCCGACCAAGAATCTATCTTAACAAAAGTGACAGAGATGCCTCACTGTGATGCCCGGAAGATTTCCGTGTGATGGCATTGTAGTGCTCTTTGTCCTAAGTTCTGAAGGAAGGACATTAAAATCTCCCATAAATTACCTATGTGTTTGTTAAACTCATTCACGACACTGTTAAAGCACAGGTTCAACAGGCATCTAGTATAGGAAGAAACTTCGTATCACTCACATCTGTGCTCTCTTCTAACTTGAGTCCTAGGACCTACTCTAGTCCAGGGTCCTACTTATCCCCTACATAGTAATTTGTTTTACAAAGTGCAGTTTCTGCTAACAGGCACTTCACAGGCACAATCACACTCTCAAGTTTGGTGGAAGACTATAAACTGTAATTTTCCTGTTGGATAGTTCTTCTATATTAGAGCAGTAATAAGGAATGGTAGCTGTTGAGACTAGAAATTTCTGGGAAGATGCTTGTATCCTATCTTAATGTTACATCATTATGATAACCATTTTATGTTTCAGAAAGTATCAGATGTAGAAGTAAGCAATTTACGAACATAATCCAACATTGTAGTTCATGGTCTTGCTTGGTGTTCAACTAGTGCATGACATTTCCCCTTAATAATTAGAAGAATTTTATTAGCAGCCTCTGAACACACTTTTTTCTTAGACATTTTTTGTGGAGATGTCATTCTGATGAGAATCAGTGCCATTTTAAAAGATAATCATCCTTTTGTTTTGTCACCCTCGCCTGAGTAATTCCAGAAAGTGTGTTTTACATTGTAGCTAGTTTCTTCATTGCTTTTTTTTTCTGTTTCTCCTCATTTTTTAAACATATCAACTCGCAGATCTTTGCAAAGCAAATTTGGGCCAAGTAGTATAATTTAAAAATTTGTAATCTAATAATGTATATGTAGTGTAACCTCTATCATTGCAGAAAGCTTCTTGAAAGCCTTAGTATGTGAGTATCTATTACATAGAAGATATTTCTTTCTGTTTTCATGATAAAGATTCATTGATTTTGATTTTCTTTTAAATTTGCTTTCCTTTTGGCTGGTCTTTTTTCATTTTCCTCCTAGACTTTATTAATACATAGATTCTTTCAACATTAATTCACTACTTAGGTTAGACTACACTATTGTAATACATAGAATTTCATTCATATTTCGACTCAGTGTCATTTTGCTCATCTTATTTCGTTAGGTGATGTGAATAATTATAGCCAGTCAGTGATTTTTTATTATTTTAAAGAAAAAGGGATGTTTAAGAGAAAATACACCCATTACTCAGTCTAAGGTTCAATCTTGGGTGTGTTAGTCAGTGAGTACATAGTCTTGTTCTGCTTTTCAGAACATTCTGGGCTGGGGCTGGAGAGATGCTTAGCAGTTCTTGGAGAGGACCTGAGTCAGTTTTCATCACCATGTGGTGATGTGACTCACAGCCATTTGTAAATCCAGTTCTAGGTCATCTGATGCCGTCTTCTGGCCTCTACTGCAACCTGGCACACACATGGTGCACATACATGTCTGTTCAGGCAAGACAACCATGTACATTAAATAAAAGAAAATAAATGAATCTAAAACACTTAGGTTTAAGTCCTTATCTATAAATCTGTGGATAAGAATAATAGCTTTTTTTGTAATTTGGTTATTGAAGAAATCAGACAAAACTGTCCAAACACACGCAAATGATAAGTATTTATCTGATCGCTTTTAGATTGCTTTATTTCATGTTCTGTAGTCGTCAAGAATTCTACAAGGTGATTCTCCAGCATTTTGAATGAAAATGTAATTGTGGTTATGTGGATTTTGTTGATTTCACCTCTTCCAGGATCTGCCCTGTGTTAAGCCTCTTCACTGCTGTTTAAGAAGGATACAATGTTTTTTAATTGGTGAGGTGTACTTTTGAGATATAATTCAATGCCTCAATAAATGTAAAGCATCTATTTCTCATTTTTCTGCCAAGAACTTTTTCCGTGCCTATTATTTAGAAGGTGTTGGATTGGACCCAGTCGAGAAAGTAGAGGTAAATAGCATTCTTTCTCACCTCAAGAAATTAAGAATGAAATTACTAGATAAATAGACGTCTTAGGAGTCATTGATTCTATACATCGATTCCCCCCATACACCATTTGTCTCACAGCACTCATTTATTAGTTTAGTGTGGTATGTTGATTTGATCATCTACCCTATTTGTGTTCATCTAGGCAATCACAAAGTGATTGAGATACATCCTTAAATGCTGATGCCATAGTGTCTCTGGATTTAGCTTTTAATGTTATTCTCAAAGTTTGCAATGTTTTTCATAAACTTTATAATGCATTTTTTGCTTTGTTATTTTTATTTTCGTCTTTAATTATCACCATTGATAGTTGGGCCTAGACAATTATGTGTGTGTGTTTTTTTTAAAAATATTTCCTTATGCAATGTAGTGCGTTTCATAGTATCTCTAGCCTCTGCCCCCTAGGTGCCAATAACATTCCAGTCCACTTATGACAGCCACAAATATGCTTAGATGCTGCCAACCACCCTTTATGGAACGGAATCTGTGCCCTCAATCCCCACCTCCCTTATTTCTCTCTCTCCTTATTGACGTGGTCACAACTGATAATTTTTCTTTAAATTAAAAAAGGTGGAACAGAGCAGAAAATATTGGACAGTTTCACAGATAAGGATAGTGC